GCAGCTGCACTGAGTGCTGTGTCAGGCAGTGCCAGAGCTCCCACGTTGTCATTGAGCCGCCTGCTGTGCTGGTGACCCTGCCCGGCCCCATCCTCAGCTCCTCCCCACAGAACACCGCCGTGGGATCTTCTACCTCTGCTGCTGTTGGCAACATCCTCAGCTGTGGTGGGGTGCCCATCAGCTCTGGGGGCTTTGACATCTCCTGCATCACCAACTGCTATGGCAGCAGATGCTGTCCCCCCTGCTAAAGATGCTGCCAACATCCTTGGGCAAAAACATCCACAACCTTAGAATATGGAGCTGCACTGAACATGGATCTTTGGAATAATGAATTTGTGCCCTTGGTTTACTGCTCTTTTCCTCCACTCTCTTCTCTTTGCTACACTTCCTTTCAGCACCACCCAATGCCAGCCCAGTGGAATCAGTTTGCCTCCCTCTGTCCCTCTGCAGGACAGGCAAATGGACACCCCTACTGCACCCTGCTGGCTGCTCCCAGTGTCCTTTTTCAGCTCCCTCATTCTCTTCCTTAGACTCAATAAAGTTGTTTTGCATCCAAACCTGGTTCTCTGCTTTCTCCTTCCTTGTGTTGGAACTCTTCCAGTCAGCTCCAGGCAAAAGGTGCTGAAAGACAAGTTGGTGGCCATTACTATGTGCTTTCCCTATTGTGCTTCCCAAACAAATGGCTGGCTTCCCCGAAATACTGATCATCACAAGAAGATGATGTCAAAGGTCACAGTAGTGGGAATGGGAAACAGCAGTACCTGGGGATAGTCCACAACCTCCGCTCTTCAAACATCTCTCTACCGTTCGATTTCTGCTCAGCTTTCAACCACATTGGGAGAGCTGAGAGGTTTCACAGGGTCAAGTAAGCATGAGGACATTAGCAAAACCATCCTCCCACCCTGTTGGAGTCTGGCACTTTTTCTTATTCTGGATGTGTTAGTAGATAAATTCTCCCACCTTCTGGCCTCCACATCCCAAACATGGTCAAATGTTTTTCTTGACTTGACTCCTTCTTTTTCACAGCATCATTTTCCCACAGCTCCTGACTCAGGACAAAGGCCACTGTGGCTGCATGACTGACCCATCCCCACAGAGCCACCAGAACACTGTCACCGCTGAGCCTCCACATGAGGCAGGATCAAGGACAGTGGGAAACACCTGAGTGCCCCAAGGCTGCCTGGATGTGGCATCAAAGGGATGGCCTGGGTTTGGGACTGTCCCTGAGAGATGTGGGTGCCGTGGCCCTCTCCAGGTTCCTGCAGAGAAGGAACTGGGCCCTGAGTGTGTGTGAGGGGCTGGCACTGCTGGGCAGGGAAGGCCCTACGGAGCGTGCAATGGCTGGGCTGAGAGCTCAGCTCAGGCCCTGCTGTGGACACACACACAGGGGCACTGACACACTGCCAGCCTGCCCAGCTGTGCTCAGAGATGACCCCAGAGGCACAGAGCCCAGCACACGGGCACAGGCACACGGGCAGGGTGGTTGCACACAAGTGCCCTGACCTGAGCACAACCATCCCTGCGCAGGCCAGAGGCTCTCAGGGGTGTTCCCAGCAGGGCACAAGCACAGGGATGTGCAGACACTGGCACACACTGGGGCACAGCCACACTCCCACACACATTATTGTGGGGGAGCACATGGGGCAGAGGTCCTATGTGACTGAGGAGGTGCAGGGAAGCTCCAAGTCAGAGCAGATTCTGGGAACACCAAGCAGGACAGAAGCTCAGTGCTACAGGAGTCTCATGCGCTAGGAAGGCTGAGGAAGAAGGCAAAGATGTTTCATTCAAAGGCCAAATCACATAGAGGAGCCATTAGGTGGCGAGCAAAAGACTGGAGGGCTGAGAGTAGAGGAGGCCCTTTGAGCCAGCAGCAACATAAAATATCCCGAAGAATGCCTCAGGCTGGAATCACCTGCCTCCTTTGGATCCCTTCTGCACCTAGGTCATGTCTCTTACACACACTGATGCATCCATGGCCCCAGGAAACATGGGATCTCACATACCAGCATTCAAAAAAGGGTCCATGAAGGCATGGGAATGATGTGAGCCAGGAAATGCAAAGTCATTGTAGATGGAAAAACCAACTCATGCCATATCATTCCCAGAAGTCTTTCCATTCATTTGGGATCATGCAGGAATATCATCACTTGTGCAGCTCAAACTGTGGGCCCTGAGGCACTGTGGGGCCACTATAAAAGGCAGCTGAACTGGTGGCTCTCTCAACCACTTCTGTCACCTCCTCCTCCTTGGGAATCAGGTGAGTTGAAAGCCCCTTTAACCTCCACCCTCTCCATGACAGGATTGATCTTTTCAGCCCTTGTTCCTGCTCCTTGTGCTTCTGGGAGTGTTTTGCAATGGTGGTGGTGTGGGCAGAGGGGAGACCGTGTGCTCTGGCCAGAGGCTGAGGCTGGGCTGAGGTGCTGATTTTCATCCCGGTTAGGCAGGAGCACAGCTGGGCCTGGCTGAGCTCGGAAGGACCGTGCTGGGCTCAGGCAAAGGATCCCCAGGCTGGGCCTGCACAGGCTGGAGCTGCGCAGGCAGCAGGGGCCTTGTCCTGCTGGGGGTGCCTTGCGGGCTGTGTCTCAGGTGTGTGTGTGCTCTGCTTCCTCCCTGCCCTCTGTGCCAGGTGCAGCGCCAGGCTCCAGACATGTCCTGCTCTGAGAAGTGCCAGCAGTGCCAGCCCTGCAACCCTTGCTGCCAGCCCTGCGGCCCCTGCCCGCTGGCCAGCAGCTGCAATGAGTGCTGTGTCAGGCAGTGCCAGAGCTCCCACGTTGTCATTCAGCCGCCTGCTGTGCTGGTGACCCTGCCCGGGCCCATCCTCAGCTCCTCCCCACAGAACACCGCCGTGGGATCTTCTACCTCTGCTGCTGTTGGCAGCATCCTCAGCTCTGAGGGAGTGCCCATCAGCTCTGGGGGCTTTGACATCTCCTGCATCACCAACTGCTGTGGTGGCAGCAGATGCTGTCGTCCCTGCTAAACATGCTGATGCCAATATCCTCAAGCAAGAACCTCCACAACCTCAGGACATGCTGCGGGAATGAAGACAGAACCTAAGACATTTGATTTAGAACTTCAGATAGTTCTTTCCTTCTTCTTCTCTTGCTCTCATTTCCCTCACCTCTTCCTTTCCTGTCTCCAACACTCAATGTCAGCCAGTGGGACGTCTTGGCCTTCTTCCCTTGGCAGGCCCGGATGTCACATATCACTGGGGCATCTGAGTTTCTGCCATCGAGTGCCCTCTCTGAGCCTCCATATTTTCTTCTTTTGACTTAATAAAGTTGTTTGTGCATTCTAACCTTCGCCAATGATTTGTCCTTCCTTCTGTGACAACCCTTCCAGTTCCCACTCTTGCAAAAGGCTGGAGGAAGCCCAGCATTGCCATCCCTGCACCTTTTTGGTGCAATTTTTTTCAGTTCAATTTTGTTTGTGTCTTTTCCCTTGGAGCTCACAAAGATGTCCCTCTCGTTCAGGATGGTGAGGCAGTGTGCTAAAGTGCCCAGAAAGGCTTTGGATGCTCAACACTGGAAGTCAACCCTGCTTTGAGCAACCTGGTTTAATGGGTGCCCGACTATTAAAGGCAGGAGGACAGGAATAAAAGGGCCTTGAAGTTTCCTTCCACCAAACCATTTCTAATGAAATCTGCTTTCCCAGAGGCCTCAGCAGTGTGACAAATGTGCTCAGTGTGGGGCAGGTCTGAGTCCCCTTTGGACACAGCTGGAGCTGACACAGTCAGACATGGCTGGAGACACTGGACTCTTCTCACAAAGCCCATTTCTACAGCCTGAGTTACAAAGTTTTTCCTTGTGAGCAACCACAACACATGAGGAAGCCTTGCTTCCTGGGAAACTGCCAGCCATCATTTCCTGACGGAAGGAGGCCATGACAATTTTTTTCCCAGTGTACTTGTGCATGCATAACCTTTCACTATTGCTTTAGCAAACTCCCTTCCATCAAGGTTCAAATTGTTCTCTGATGGATATTATCTTCCGTGATCCCCTGAGGAAATGGATTGATAGAGCAGCTTGCTGGGCATCATCCATCCAGCCAAGGGCCACCAAGCACAGCTGCTAATCCAGCCCAGGGCAAGAGCAGGAACAAGCTGCAGAAGCGGGCATGGACTGTTGGCGAAAGTTAATTGTATTAGAGGGAAGCAAGAGCACGAAGAATACTTTATTTCCCCTATCCATTCCCAAAATGGGCCAGGAAAACAGGCTGCACGTGAAAACTCATAGGATGTCACAAAGAGATGCGAGAGAGATGGGCAGCTACAGAGGAAGAACGAGAGTGTTGCCCTGAGCATTTTGCCACAAACAAACCCACAGGAATGACACAGGTTCAGGTCATGAGCCTGCATGGAATGCCACCAGACAATGATCCCAGCATTCTGCCTACTCTGACGTGTTTATATCCTGGAAATCCTTGAGCCGTTCATCCTGGCCCTAGAAGGAGTCTTCAGATAGGAACGCACAGGGCAGAAGCCGGGAAGTAGAGGCTGCAGTGCAGGAAATCAGGACACAGCCCCTACCATTAGCTGGGATAGTTTGCATTTGACATAAGCTGGTCAGAAAATTACGACTTCCACAAAGGTGCCTCTGGGCCTTTAGGGAAGGCAGCATAGCTATAAAAGGCAGCCCAAGTCTCTGCTCTCTTATCCACTTTGCTCACATCCTCCTCCTCCTCAGGAATCAGGTGAGTGGGAAGCCTCTTCTTCTCCTCCTCCTGCTGCTGCTTCAAGAGCAGGTCTTGCCTGGCTGGAGATCGCAGGTGAAAGGAGATACAGGAGACCAGGGCTGGGAGCTGCTCCTATTGGGAGAGGGCCGGGGAGAGAAGGTCTGGTGCAGACAGAGAGAAGCTGCGACTTGGCTGAGGTGGCTCCTGGGCTTTGAGCTGGGCAGGAAAATGTGGGGGCCAGGAGGTGCCTGGGCTGCAGGGTGTTTGGGTGCAGTGCTGCTTCTCATGTGTCCTCACTTTGTGCTTCTCCCTGCCCTCTGTGTCAGGTGCACCTGTGACCCCGAGCCATGTCCTGCTGCCAGCCCTGCGACCCTTGCTGCCAGCCCTGCGGCCCCTGCCCGCTGGCCAGCAGCTGCACTGAGTGCTGTGTCAGGCAGTGCCAGAGCTCCCACGTTGTCATTCAGCCGCCTGCTGTACTGGTGACCCTGCCCGGGCCCATCCTCAGCTCCTCCCCACAGAACACGGCCGTGGGATCCTCCACCTCTGCTGCTGTTGGCAACATCCTCAGCTGTGGTGGGGTGCCCATCAGCTCTGGGGGCTTTGACATCTCCTGCATCACCAACTGCTATGGCAGCAGATGCTGTCCCCCCTGCTAAAGATGCTTCCAACATCCTTGGGCAAGAACCTCCACAGCCTTAGAATATGGAACTGAAATGAAGATGCATCTTCGGAACAATGATTTTGTGCGTTTGGTTTGCTGCTATTTTCATCCACTCTCTTCTCTTCCCTTCCCTTCCTGTCAGCACCACCCAATGCCAGCCTAGTGGGACCTCTTTGCCTCCCTCCTATATCTGTCACTCTGCAGTCCAGGTAAATGGATACCCTAATTATACCCCAGTGGCTCCTCGTGATGTCCTCTTTCAGCTTTCTCCTTCTCTTCCTTAGACTCAATAAAGTTGTTTTGCATCCAAACCTGGCCCTCTGCTTTCTCCTTCCTTGTGTGGGAACTCTTCCAGTCAGCTCAGGGCAAAAGGTGCAGGAAGACAAGCTTGGACAATTTGTGGTGGATGTTACTTTGTGCCTTTTCTCTTGCATCTCCCAAACAAATCCTATGCTCCCCCAAAATAGTGATCATCACGAAAAGATGATGTCAAAGGTCACAGGAGCGGGAATGGTAAACAGCATTCCTGGGGAGAGTCCACAACCTCCTCTCTTCAAACACCTTCCTCACATTAGTCTTCTGCTCAGCGACTAACCAGACTGGCAGGGCTGAGGGGTTTCACAGAGTCAAGTAAGCATGAGGACAGAACCAAAATCATCCTCCCACCCTGTTGGAGTCTGCCACATTTTCTTATTCTGTTTGTGGGAAAGGAGAAATTCTCCCGTCTTCTGTCCTCCACATCTCAGACACGGTCAAATGTTTTTCTCCACTTGACACATTAGTTTTGACAGCATCATTTCCCCACAGCTCATGGCTCAGGAGAAAGGCCACTGTGGCCGCTGGACTTCCCATCCCACAGAGCCACCAGAACACTGTCACATCCAAGCCTCCACATGAGGCAGGAACAAGGACAGTGGGAAACACCTGAGTGCCCCAAGGCTGCCTGGATGTGGCATCAAAGGGATGGCCTGGGTTTGGGACTTTCATTGAGAGATGTGGGTGCCGTGGCCCTCTCCAGATGCCTGGAGAGAAGGCAGTGGGCCCTGAGTGTGTGTGAGGGGCTGGCACTGCTGGGCAGGGAAGGCCCTACGGAGCGTGCAATGGCTGGGCTGAGAGCTCAGCTCAGGCCCAGCTGTGGACACACACACAGGGGCACTGACACACTGCCAGCCTGCCCAGCTGTGCTCAGAGATGACCCCAGAGGCACAGAGCCCAGCACACGGGCACAGGCACACGGGCAGTGGGGTTGCACACAAGTGCCCTGACCTGAGCACAACCATCCCTGCGCAGGCCAGAGGCTCTCAGGGGTGTTCCCATCAGGGCACAAGCACAGGGATGTGCAGACACTGGCACACACTGGGGCACAGCCACAATAGCATGCACATTATTGTGGGGGAGCACAGGGGGCAGAGGCCTGAGGAAGGGATGTGAGTGAGGAGGTGCAGGGAAGTTCCCAGTCAGAGCACATTCTGGGAACACCAAGCAGGCAGAAGCTCAGTCTGAAGGGCTACAGGAGTCTCAAGTACTATGAAGGCCAAGGAGAAAGAGTTTCATTGAAAGGACAAATCACATCGAGGAGCCATTAGGTGGTCAGCAAAAGACTGGAGGGCAGTGAACATAGAAGGCCCTGCCAGCCAGCACCAACATAAAATATCCAAAAGAATGCCTCAGGCTGGAATCACCTGCCTCTTTGGGTTCCCTTCTGCACCTAGGTCATGTCTCTTACACACACCAAAGCATCCTTGGCCCCAGGAAACATGGGATCTCACATACCAGCATTCAAAATAGGGTCCATGAAGGAATGGGAATGATGTGAGCCAGGAAATGCAAAGTCATTGTAGACGGAAAAACCAACTCATGCCATACCATTCCTAGAAATCTTTCCGTTCATTTGGGATCATGCAAGAATATCATCACTTGTGCAGCTCAAACTGTGGGCCCTGAGGCACTGTGGGGCCAGGATAAAAGGCAGCTGAACTGGTGGCTCTCTCAACCACTTCTGTCACCTCGTCCTCCTTGGGAACCAGGTGAGTTGGAAGCCCCTTTATCCTCCAGCCTCTCCATGACTGAATTGATCTTTTCGTCCCTTGTTCCTGCTCTTTGTGCTTCTGTGGGTGCTCTGCAATGGTGGTGGTGTGGGCAGAGGGGAGACCGTGTGTTCTGGCCAGAGGCTGAGGCTGGGCTGAGGTGCTGATTTTCATCCCGGTTAGGCAGGAGCACAGCTGGGCCTGGCTGAGCTCGGAAGGACTGTGCTGGGCTCAGGCAAAGGATCCCCAGGCTGGGCCTGCACAGGCTGGAGCTGCGCAGGCAGCAGGGGCCTTGTCCTGCTGGGGGTGCCTTGCGGGCTGTGTCTCAGGTGTGCATGTGCTCTGCTTCCTCCCTGCCCTCTGTGCCAGGTGCAGCGCCAGGCTCGAGACATGTCCTGCTCTGAGAAGTGCCAGCAGTGCCAGCCCTGCAACCCTTGCTGCCAGCCCTGCGGCCCCTGCCCGCTGGCCAGCAGCTGCACTGAGTGCTGTGTCAGGCAGTGCCAGAGCTCCCACGTTGTCATTCAGCCGCCTGCTGTGCTGGTGACCCTGCCCGGGCCCATCCTCAGCTCCTCCCCACAGAACACCGCCGTGGGATCCTCCACCTCTGCTGCTGTTGGCAGCATCCTCAGCTGTGGCGGAGTGCCCATCAGCTCTGGGGGCTTTGACATCTCCTGCATCACCAACTGCTGTGGTGGCAGCAGATGCTGTCGTCCCTGCTAAACATGCTGATGCAAACATCCTCAGGCAAGAACCTCCACAACCTCAGGACATGCTGCGGGAATGAAGACAGAACCTGAGACATTTGATTTAGAGCTTCAGATTTTTCTTTCCTTCTTCTTCTCCTGCTCTCAATTCCCTCTCCTCTTCCTTTCCTGTCTCCAACACTCAATGTCAGCCAGTTGGACGTCTTGGCCTTCTTCCCTTGGCAGGCCCAGATGTCACATATCACTGGGGCATCTGAGTTTCTGCCATCGAGTGCCCTCTCTGAGCCTCCATATTTTCTTCTTTTGACTCAATAAAGTTGTTTGTGCATTCTAACCTTCGCCAATGATTTGTCCTTCCTTCTGTGACAACTCTTCCAGTTCCCACTCTTGCAAAAGGCTGGAGGAAGCCCAGCATTGCCATCCCTGCAACTTTCTTGGTGCAATTTTTTCGTTCAATTTTTTTTTCCCTTCCCCTTGGAGCTCACAAAGATGTCCCTCTCTGTCAGGATGGTGAGGCAGTGTACTAAAGTGCCCAGAAAGGTTTTGGATGCTCAACACTGGAACTGTGCAAGATAAGGTTTAACCCTGCTTTGAGCCAGCTGGTTTAGTGGGTGTCCAACTATTAAAGGCAGGAGGACAGGAATAAAAGGTTTTGGAGTTGCCTTCCAGCCCAAACCATTTCTAATGAAACCTGCTTTCCAAGAGGCCTCAGCAGTGTGACAAATGTGCTCAGTGTGGGGCAGGTCTGAGTCCCCTTTGGACACAGCTGGAGCTGACAGAGTCAGACATGGCTGGAGACACTGGACTCTTCTCATAAAGCCCATTTCTGCAGCCTTAGTGACAAAGATTTTCCTTGTGAGCAACCACAACACATGAGGAAGCCTTGCTTCCTGGGAAACTGCCAGCCATCATTTCCTGATGGAAGGAGGCCTTGAAATATTTTTTCCCCGGTGTACTTATGAACGCATAAATATTCACTTTGGCTTTAGCAAACTGCCTTCTATGAAGGTTCAAATCACTCTCTGATTTATGTTGTCTTCTCTAATTTATGGAGGAAAGGGATTTATAGAGCAGCTTGCTGGGCACCATCCATACAGCCAAGGGCCACCAAGCACAGCTGCTAATCCAGCCCAGGGCAAGAGCAGGAACGAGCTGCAGAAGCGGGCATGGACTGTTGGCGAAAGTTAATTGTATTAGGGGGAAGCAACAGCACAAAGAATACTTTATGTCCCCTATCCATTCCCAAAATGGGCCAGGAAAATAGGCTGCACGTGAAAACTCATGGGATGTCACAAAGAGATGCGAGAGAGATGGGCAGCTACAGAGGAAGAATGAGAGTGTTGCCCTGAGTATTTTGCCACAAACTAACCCACCGGAATGACACAGGTTCAGGTCATGAGCCTGCATGGAATGCCACCAGACAATGATCCCAGCATTCTGCCTACTCTGACGTGTTTATATCCTGGAAATCCTTGGGCCACGCACCCTGACCCTAGAAGGAGATTTCAGATAGGAACGCACAGGGCAGAAGACAGGAAATGAAAAGGCAGAAATGCAGGAAAACAGGACACAGCCTCTACCATTAACTGCGAATGTGCACATTTGACATGAACTGGTCAGAAAATTATGACTTCCACTAAGATGCTTCTGGGCCTGAGGCAGGGCAGGACTGCTATAAAAGGCAGCCCAAGTCTCTGATCTCTCATCCACGCTCTCACATCCTCCTCTACTGGAATCAGGTGAGTGGGAAGCCTCTTCTCCTCCTCCTGCTGCTGCTTCAAGAGTACCTCTTGCCTTGCTGGAGGTCTCAGCAGAGAGGGCCTGCTGTAGTGCAGGTCTGGGATCTGCTTCTGCTGGGAGAGGTCAGGGGAAAGAAGGTCTTGTGCTGACAGAGAGAGGCTGGAACTTGGCTGAGGTGACTCCTGGGCTTTGAGCTGGGCAGTGCAGTGGGGGCCAAGAGGTGCCTGGGCTGCAGGGGGTTTGGGTGCAGTGCTGCTTCCCATGTGTCCTCACTTTGTGCTTCTCCCTGCCCTCTGTGCCAGGTGCACCTGTGATCCCGAGCCATGTCCTGCTGCCAGCCCTGCAACCCTTGCTGCCAGCCCTGCGGCCCCTGCCCGCTGGCCAGCAGCTGCACTGAGTGCTGTGTCAGGCAGTGCCAGAGTTCCCACGTTGTCATTGAGCCTCCTGCTGTGCTGGTGACCCTGCCCGGCCCCATCCTCAGCTCCTCCCCACAGAACACCGCTGTGGGATCCTCCACCTCTGCTGCTGTTGGCAGCATCCTCAGCTGTGGTGGGGTGCCCATCAGCTCTGGGGGATTTGACATCTCCTGCATCACCAACTGCTATGGCAGCAGATGCTGTCCCCCCTGCTAAAGATGCTGCCAACATCCTTGGGCAAGAACCTCCACAGCCTTAGAATATGGAGCTGCACTGAACATGGATCTTTGGAATAATGAACTTGTGCCCTTGGTTTACTGCTCTTTTCCTCCACTCTCTTCTCTTTGCTTCACTTCCTTTCCTGTCACCATCCAGTGCCAGCCCAGTGGAACCTGTTTGCCTCCCTCTTTCCCTCTGCAGGACAGGCAAATGGACACCCCCACTGCACCCTGCTGGCTGCTCCCAGTGTCCTTTTTCAGTTCCCTCATGCTCTTCCTTAGACTCAATAAAGTTGTTTTGCATCCAAACCTGGTTCCCTGCTTTCTCCTTCCTTGTGTTGGAACTCTTCTAGTCAGCCCTGGGCAAAAGGTGCTTGAAGACAAGTTGGTGGCCATTACTATGTGCTTTCCCTATTGTGGTTCCCAACAAATCCATGGCTTCCCCGAAATACTGATCAACACAAGAAGATGATGTCAAAGGTCACAGGAGTGGGAATGGGAAATAGCAGTGCCTGGGGATAGTCCACAACCTCCGCTCTTCAAACATCTCTCTCCCATTAGATTTCTGCTCAGCTTTCAACCACATTGGGAGAGCTGAGAGGTTTCACAGGGTCAAGTAAGCATGAGGACATAAGCAAAACCATCCTCCCACCCTGTTGGTGTCTGGCACTTTTTCTTATTCTGGATGTGTTAGTAGATAAATTCTCCCACCTTCTGGCCTCCACATCCCAAACATGGTCAAATGTTTTTCTTGACTTGACTCCTTCTTTTTCACAGCATCATTTTCCCACAGCTCCTGACTCAGGACAAAGGCCACTGTGGCTGCAGGACTGACCCATCCCCACAGAACCACCAGAACACTGTCACATCCAAACCTCCCCATGGGGCAGGAACACGGACAGTGGGAAACACCTGAGTGCCCCAAGGCTGCCTGGATGTGGCATCAAAGGGATGGCCTGGGTTTGGGACCGTCCTTGAGAGATGTGGGTGCCGTGGCCCTCTTCAGGTTCCTGGAGAGAAGGCAGTGGGCCCTGAGTGTGAGTGAGGGGCTGGCAGTGCTGGGCAGGGAAGGCCCTACGGAGCGTGCAATGGCTGGGCTGAGAGCTCAGCTCAGGCCCAGCTGTGGACACACACACAGGGGCACTGACACACTGCCAGCCTGCCCAGCTGTGCTCAGAGATGACCCCAGAGGCACAGAGCCCAGCACACGGGCACAGGCACACGGGCAGGGGGGTTGCACACAAGTGCCCTGACCTGAGCACAACCATCCCTGCGCAGGCCAGAGGCTCTCAGGGGTGTTCCCAGCAGGGCACAAGCACAGGGATGTGCAGACACTGGCACACACTGGGGCACAGCCACACTCCCACACACATTATTGTGGGGGAGCACATGGTACAGAGGTCCTATGTGACTGAGGAAGTGCTGGGGAGAACCCAGTCAGAGCAGAATCTGGGACCACCAAGCAGGACAGAAGCTCAGTGATACAAGAGTCTCATGCGCTAGGAAGGCTGAGGAAGAAGGCAAAGATGTTTCATTCAAAGGCCAAATCACATAGAGGAGGCATTAGGTGGTGAGCAAAAGACTGGAGGGCTGAGAGCAGAGGAGGCCCTTTGAGCCAGCAGCAACATAAAATATCCCAAAGAGCGCCTCAGGCTGGAATCACCTGCCTCTTTGGGTTCCCTTCTGCACCTAGGTCATGTCTCTTACACACACTGACACATCCATGGCCCCAGGAAACATGGGATCTCACATACCAGCATTCAAAATAGGGTCCATGAAAGAATGGGAATGCTGTGAGCCAGGAAATGAAAAGTCATTGTAGACGGAAAAACCAACTCATGCCATACCATTCCTAGAAATCTTTCCATTCATTTGGGATCATGCAGGAATATCGTCACTTGTGCAGCTCAAACTGTGGGCCCTGAGGCACTGTGGGGCCAGGATAAAAGGCAGCTGAACTGGTGGCTCTCTCAACCACTTCTGTCACCTCCTCCTCCTTGGGAATCAGGTGAGTTGAAAGCCCCTTTAACCTCCACCCTTTTCATGACAGGATTGATCTTTCTGTTCCTTGTTCCTGCTCCTTGTGCTTCTGGGAGTGTTTTGCAATGGTGGTGGTGTGGGCAGAGGGGAGACCGTGTGCTCTGGCCAGAGGCTGAGGCTGGGCTGAGGTGCTGATTTTCATCCCGGTTAGGCAGGAGCACAGCTGGGCCTGGCTGAGCTCGGAAGGACCGTGCTGGGCTCAGGCAAAGGATCCCCAGGCTGGGCCTGCACAGGCTGGAGCTGCGCAGGCAGCAGGGGCCTTGTCCTGCTGGGGGTGCCTTGCGGGCTGTGTCTCAGGTGTGTGTGTGCTCTGCTTCCTCCCTGCCCTCTGTGCCAGGTGCAGCGCCAGGCTCGAGACATGTCCTGCTCTGAGAAGTGCCAGCAGTGCCAGCCCTGCAACCCTTGCTGCCAGCCCTGCGGCCCCTGCCCGCTGGCCAGCAGCTGCACTGAGTGCTGTGTCAGGCAGTGCCAGAGCTCCCACGTTGTCATTCAGCCGCCTGCTGTGCTGGTGACCCTGCCCGGCCCCATCCTCAGCTCCTCCCCACAGAACACCGCCGTGGGATCCTCCACCTCCGCTGCTGTTGGCAGCATCCTCAGCTCTGAGGGAGTGCCCATCAGCTCTGGGGGCTTTGACATCTCCTGCATCACCAACTGCTGTGGTGGCAGCAGATGCTGTCGTCCCTGCTAAACATGCTGATGCCAACATCCTCAGGCAAGAACCTCCACAACCTCAGGACATGGTGTGTGAATGAAGACAGAACCTGAGACATTTGATTTAGAGCTTCTGATTGTTCTTTCCTTCTTCTTCTCTTGCTCTCATTTCCCTCTCCTCTTCCTTTCCTGTCTCCAACACTCAATGTCAGCCAGTGGGACCTCTTGGCCTTCTTCCCTTGGCAGGCCCGGATGTCACATATCACTGGGGCATCTGAATTTCTGCCATCGAGTGCCCTCTCTGAGCCTCCATATTTTCTTCTTTTGACTCAATAAAGTTGTTTGTGCATTCTAACCTTGGCCAATGATTTGTCCTTCCTTCTGTGACAACTCTTCCAGTTCCCACACTTGCAAAAGGCTGGAGGAAGCCCAGCATTGCCATCCCTGCAACTTTCTTGGTGCAATTTTTTCGTTCAATTTTTTTTTCCCTTCCCCTTGGAGCTCACAAAGATGTCCCTCTCTGTCAGGATGGTGAGGCAGTGTACTAAAGTGCCCAGAAAGGTTTTGGATGCTCAACACTGGAACTGTGCAAGATAAGGTTCAAACCTGCTTTGAGCCAGCTGGTTTAGTGGGTGCCCAACTATTAAAGGCAGGAGGACAGGAATAAAAGGTTTTGGAGTTGCCTTACAGCCCAAACAATTTCTAATGAAACCTGCTTTCCCAGAGGCCTCAGCAATGTGACAAATGTGCTCAGTGGGGAACAGGTCTGAGTCCCCTTTGGACACAGCTGGAGCTGACACAGTCAGACATGGCTGGAGACACTGGACTCTTCTCACAAAGCCCATTTCTGCAGCCTGAGTTACAAAGTTTTTTCTTGTGAGCAACCACAACACATGAGAAAGCCTTGCTTCCTGGGAAACTGCTAGCCATCATTTCCTGACGGAAGGAGGCCATGACAATTTTTTTCCCAGTGTACTTGTGCATGCATAACCTTTCACTGTTGCTTTAGCAAACTCCCTTCCATCAAGGTTCAAATTGTTCTCTGATGGATATTATCTTCCGTGATCCCCTGGGGAAATGGATTGATAGAGCAGCTTGCTGGGCATCATCCATCCAGCCAAGGGCCACCAAGCACAGCTGCTAATCCAGCCCAGGGCAAGAGCAGGAACAAGCTTCAGAAGCGGGCATGGACTGTTGGCGAAAGTTAATTGTATTAGAGGGAAGCAAGAGCACAAAGAATACTTTATGTCCCCTATCCATTTCCAAAATGAGCCAGGAAAACAGGCTGCACGTGAAAACTCATGGGATGTCACAAAGAGATGTGAGAGAGATGGGCAGCAACAGAGGAAGAATGAGAGTGTTGCCCTGAGCATTTTGCTACAAACAAACCCACAGGAATGACATAGGTTTAGGTCATGAGCCTGCATGGAATGCCACCAGACAATGATCCCAGCATTCTGCCTACTCTGACGTGTTTATATCCTGGAAATCCTTGAGCCGTTCATCCTGGCCCTAGAAGGAGTCTTCAGATAGGAACGCACAGGGCAGAAGCCGGGAAGTAGAGGCTGCAGTGCAGGAAATCAGGACACAGCCCCTACCATTAGCTGGGATAGTTTGCATTTGACATAAGCTGGTCTGAAAATTACGACTTCCACCAAGGTGCCTCTGAGCCTTTAGGCAAGGCAGCATAGCTATAAAAGGCAGCCCAAGTCTCTGCTCTCTTATCCACTTTGCTCACATCCTCCTCCTCCTCAGGAATCAGGTGAGTGGGAAGCCTCTTCTTCTCCTCCTCCTGCTGCTGCTTCAAGAGCAGCTCTTGCCTGGCTGGAGATCGCAGGTGAAAGGAGATATAGGAGACCAGGGCTGGGAGCTTCTCCTATTGGGAGAGGGCCGGGGAGAGAAGGTCTGTGCAGATCAAGTAAGGCTGGGACTTCCATGGAGGTGACTCCTGGGCTTTGAGCTGGTCAGTGCAGTGGGGGTCAGGAGGTGCCTGGACTGCAGGGGGTTTGGGTGCAGTGCTGCTTCTCATGTGTCCTCACTCTGTGCTTCACCCTGCCCTCTGTGCCAGGTGCACCTGTGACCCCGAGCCATGTCCTGCTGCCAGCCCTGCGACCCTTGCTGCCAGCCCTGCGGCCCCTGCCCGCTGGCCAGCAGCTGCACTGAGTGCTGTGTCAGGCAGTGCCAGAGCTCCCACGTTGTCATTGAGCCGCCTGCTGTGCTGGTGACCCTGCCCGGGCCCATCCTCAGCTCCTCCCCACAGAACACCGCCGTGGGATCCTCCACCTCTGCTGCTGTTGGCAACATCCTCAGCTGTGGCGGAGTGCCCATCAGCTCTGGGGGCTTTGACATCTCCTGCATCACCAACTGCTATGGCAGCAGATGCTGTCTCCCCTGCTAAAGATGCTGCCAACATCCTTGGGCAAAAACATCCACAACCTTAGAATATGGAGCTGCACTGAACATGGATCTTTGGAATAACGAATTTGTGCCCTTGGTTTGCTGCTCTTTTCCTCCACTCTCTTCTCTTCGCTTCACTTCCTTTCAGCACCACCCAGTGCCAGCCCAGTGGAACCTGTTTGCCTCCCTCTGTCCCTGTGCAGGACAGGCAAATGGACACCCCCACTGCACCCTGCTGGCTGCTCCCAGTGTCCTTTTTCAGTTCCCTCATGTTCTTCCTTAGACTCAATAAAGTTGTTTTGCATCCAAACCTGGTTCCCTGCTTTCTCCTTCCTTGTGTTGGAACTCTTCTAGTCAGCCCCGGGCAAAAGGTGCTGGAAGACAAGTTGGTGGCCATTACTGTGTGCTTTCCCTATTGTGGTTCCCAAACAAATCCATGGCTTCCCCAAAATACTGATCATCACAAGAAGATGATGTCAAAGGTCACAGGAGTGGGAATGGGAAACAGCAGTGCCTGGGGATAGTCCACAACCTCCGCTCTTCAAACATCTCTCTCCCATTAGATTTCTGCTCAGCTTTCAACCACATTGGGAGAGCTGAGAGGTTTCACAGGGTCAAGTAAGCATGAGGACATTAGCAAAACCATCCTCCCACCCTGCTGGAGTCTGGCACTTTTTCTTATTCTGGATGTGTTAGTAGATAAATTCTCCCACCTTCTGGCCTCCACATCCCAAACATAGTCAAATGTTTTTCTTGACTTGACTCCTTCTTTTTCACAGCATCATTTTCCCACAGCTCCTGACTCAGGACAAAGGCCACTGTGGCTGCAGGACTGCCCCATCCCACAGAGCCACCAGAACACTGTCACATCCAAACCTCCCAATGAGGCAGGAACACGGACAGTGGGAAACACCTGAGTGCCCCAAGGCTGCCTGGATGTGGCATCAAAGGGATGGCCTGGGTTTGGGACTGTCCCTGAGAGATGTGGGTGCCGTGGCCCTCTCCAGGTTCCTGCAGAGAAGGAACTGGGCCCTGAGTGTGTGTGAGGGGCTGGCACTGCTGGGCAGGGAAGGCCCTACGGAGCGTGCAATGGCTGGGCTGAGAGCTCAGCTCAGGCCCAGCTGTGGACACACACACAGGGGCACTGACACACTGCCAGCCTGCCCAGCTGTGCTCAGAGATGACCCCAGAGGCACAGAGCCCAGCACACGGGCACAGGCACACGGGCAGGGGGGTTGCACACAAGTGTCCTGACCTGAGCACAACCATCCCTGCACAGGCCAGAGGCTCTCAGGGGTGTTCCCAGCAGGGCATAAGCACCGGGATGTGCAGACACTGGCACACACTGGGGCACAGCCACAATAGCATGCACATTATTGTGGGGGAGCACAGGGGGCAGAGGCCTGAGGAAGGGATGTGAGTGAGGAGGTGCAGGGAAGTTCCCAGTCAGAGCAGATTCTGGGAACACCAAGCAGGCAGAAGCTCAGTCTGAAGGGCTACAGGAGTCTCAAGCACTATGAAGGCCAAGGAGAAAGAGTTTCATTGAAAGGACAAATCACATCGAGGAGCCATTAGGGGGTGAGCAAAGGACTGGAGGGCAGTGAACAAAGAAGGCCCTGCCAGCCAGCACCAACATAAAATATCCAAAAGAATGCCTCAGGCTGGAATCACCTGCCTCTTTGGGTTCCCTTCTGCACCTAGGTCATGTCTCTTACACCCCAACGCATCCATGGCCCCAGGAAACATGGGATCTCACATACCAGCATTCAAAATAGGGTCCATGAAGGAATGGGAAAGATGTGAGCCAGGAAATGCAAAGTCATTGTAGACGTAAAAACCAACTCATGCCATGCCATTCCTAGAAATCTTTCCGTTCATTTGGGATCATGCAAGAATATCATCACTTGTGCAGCTCAAACTGTGGGCCCTGAGGCACTGTGGGGCCAGGATAAAAGGCAGCTGAACTGGTGGCTCTCTCAACCACTTCTGTCACCTCCTCCTCCTTGGGAACCAGGTGAGTTGGAAGCCCCTTTATCCTCCAGCCTCTCCATGACAGCATTGATTTTTCTGTTCCTTGTTCCTGCTCCTTGTGCTTCTGGGAGTGTTTTGCAATGGTGGTGGTGTGGGCAGAGGGGAGACCGTGTGCTCTGGCCAGAGGCTGAGGCTGGGCTGAGGTGCTGATTTTCATCCCGGTTAGGCAGGAGCACAGCTGGGCCTGGCTAAACTCGGAAGGACCGTGCTGGGCTCAGGCAAAGGATCCCCAGGCTGGGCCTGCACAGGCTGGAGCTGCGCAGGCAGCAGGGGCCTTGTCCTGCTGGGGGTGCCTTGCGGGCTGTGTCTCAGGTGTGCGTGTGCTCTGCTTCCTCCCTGCCCTCTGTGCCAGGTGCAGCGCCAGGCTCGAGACATGTCCTGCTCTGAGAAGTGCCAGCAGTGCCAGCCCTGCAACCCTTGCTGCCAGCCCTGCGGCCCCTGCCCGCTGGCCAGCAGCTGCACTGAGTGCTGTGTCAGGCAGTGCCAGAGCTCCCACGTTGTCATTCAGCCGCCTGCTGTGCTGGTGACCCTGCCCGGCCCCATCCTCAGCTCCTCCCCACAGAACACTGCCGTGGGATCTTCTACCTCTGCTGCTGTTGGCAGCATCATCAGCTCTGAGGGAGTGCCCATCAGCTCTGGGAGCTTTGACATCTCC